TAGCTGGCTTTTGCTAGGAGCAGATTCCTTTTTCCACTGCAAACAGAAGAGCAGATAGGCTTCAGAACTTGCAGACAGTATTCCGATGAAATGAGCATCAAGGGTATTTGCAAGGTCTGATAAGCATGTATGTATTTGTTGTGGACCTTAAAATGGATTTACATATACATTGTAGCTGCATAAGAGGTGGCAGAACTAGCTTGCAAAAAAACTGAGGTCAGAATGACTTCCACACCTGCTGAGTTCTTAAAAAAGAATTGAAAGAGTGCTACAGAGCAGTTTGCTGATTCAGCATGACCTTACAGTTCCTGACCTTACCTTTCAATAAAAAAAAACCCCACAACCCTGTTTCATCTCAGTGTAATAGTTGTGTTCACCTAGTCCTGTTATGGTCTAGATCAAAAATTGGATTTTTTGGTTTTTTCAAAATTGAAATGGCAGTTTGTTAAATTCTTAATGTCTAAGAGGAATGCATGGAGTTCTTTTTACCTGAGATGAAGCTTCTTGATTTTATAATTTAGTGGCGTGCAGGTTTTGTGTAAGATATGAATAATTCTAGTATTCAAGATGTATGTAACTAACTTTAGTGGATGTCATTACTGGGGGAAAAGTGCTTTTCTGCATCATAATTAACTGTTGATAGTTCATATACCATGAACTGGTCTCTTTAATGTTAGCTTCAAACTTCATTTGCATTTCAGATTATGTAGGTGGCATGACACTTTTTTCAAAAGTGTGTTTTAGCATGTGGCTAACAAACCAGCTCTGCTAGGAAAAACTGCAATGAAATATGGAAAAAAGAGTGTGTGTTCTGGAACTGTGATTGATATTAACAGACAGTGGTGCAACGTTTGTGGTCTGATAGAATACATTCCTCAGCTAGCAGGGCTGCATAGCAAAGAGTGCTCTTGGGAAAAGTCCCTGAATTCTTTGGCTCTTAAACAACGAAGTCATACCAGTGACACGGCATGTTGGAGGATTTGTAAGGGGGAAGGACTTCAGATGAGTTTTGGCTTTATTTCTTTTAAATGTTGAGTTACATGTTGGGAAATGGACTTAGACTGTGACAGAACCATTTCTTTTTCAGTTATCGTAGTTCTCTACATTTAATATTTATTTTAAAAGGGTGTTTGTAAACAAGGAGCAAGAGAATCAAATACAAAGTTTTACTGATGTCAAAACTTATGAAGTCACAGAAATTGTTTCTATTCTCCATGCTGTTTAGGGTATGTGATAGCAACCATTGTGAAATCCTGACTTTAATTCTCACATGCAGGACTTCTGTGTAGAATGACACTGCGTGCCAATGGCTTTCACTGAAGTGGCATCAGTGCACCCGATTCTTCTGGAGGCTGGGGCGTGTGTGGGCCAGGAGAATCCTCTACAGTCAGATAGTTTCCTGGTAGACTTTTAGTGAATCTTCATTTGCAGCTTGCTTTTTATATAGCAAAATATTCTAGCTATTCGCATGCACTAAAACCAAAAAGCCAGTATTTTTATAGAATATGTACCTAAAATAGGTGTGTTTTTTTGTTTGGTTGGGGTTTTTTTTAGCAGTGCTGTCAGTGGTGAGGAACATGATGTCCTCAGAGGCAGCCATCTTTGGAGGGTAAAAATACTAAAGATTAAAATAGCTGAAATGGATGTGTGTTCAGTATTTTTTAATGTCATAGATACAAAATCAGCACCTATGTGTGTCTTATTTTAAGTTCAGTTGTTTTTTCCAAGTGCCAATGAAACATTGGATGTTCTTTTTGGTAGTAAAGCAAAATAAGGGATTAAGTGACAGGTTATTGTAGTACCTGGAATTTTATTTGACCATTCAGTACACACAGACCTTGCTATAAGCTGTCCTTACTCCTCCTGCATTTCAGTTTCTCTGAAATCACCTTCCTTTCGGTGGCATGGGAGCGGGGTCATTGCAGAGCTTGGGAGTCCTTTATATTCCATACAGAATGCATGGATGGAAGCATTGATGTAGCTCTGTGTGAATTTAGTTATGAACTGAATGGATTAAGAGGAGGCTTTGTTTGGAAAGTACAAGGTATTTTACTTACACTATTTTATATTAAAAGCATAAATTATTTCTAGTCTGAATCTCTGCTTTGAAGGACTAAACGTGATAAAGTAGCTCATCCTTGTGGCTGATTGGTGTCTGATGCTTGGGATGTTAATAAGGATCATATTTAAAAGATTAAAAAAAAAACAACCCTAAGGTAATGGTGTAATTGTTTTGGTCCTCTCCTTTAAAATTTGTTATAGTTTAAAGAATCTAGTGAAAATATATTAATCCCACATACTAATAGAACTGACATTTCTAGGGAGCTTCTCTAGCTTGCTACAGTCATAGGCTCAGTCCTGTTTTTTTAATGAAGAAAAGATTATTCTTTGGTATTTTATTAAATTTCAATGTGTGTCCGTTTTGTACACTGCTGTCTATTTTTTTTGTTGATTTTATGACAGCATTTTTGTATCAGTTTGTTTCATTATTCTCATTAGTTCCTTGATAGTTCTTAAGCAATTTCCATATTTTTTATTGAAATTGATAGTTTTTATTAAAAGCATAGTTGTTATTTATCAGGAAAAAGGGAAAGTATTCATTTTCAAAATTCTAGGATTGAGTGCTTTTCAGTTTCCAAACATGAAATACATTGCAGATTTTCATGATTAAAAAGGTAGTTGTTAAGTTTATCATGGTTATTGTGTAAAGACATCAGTTTGCACTTGTAAGTCCATTTTATACAGACCTTAATATGATCTTATTTGTAGGTGAGTTAAAGGTTATTGAAAATGAAAGGTTTCTTCAAGTTCCTAATAGCACATAGTTCAGGAGTACTTCTACTGACATTAATATTAGGCATATAAATAAATACTGTGCTGAATTAGGGTCTCATGTCATTTGGTATGTGTTGCAGGAGAAGTATATTTATTAATGTTACTTAAGAAAAGAGGTAATTTAACAGACCTGGAGCTGTAGTAGCAATTAATACCAACAAGTGAATTTTATTTTAAGTGTATTTATTCAACTGCTACTTGACAGTTTAAAACATACTTTTTTAATTTGAAGTGTGTTTGCTTCTTTGGGACTTTCTGGATGTCAGAGGGACGTGGGTCAGAAAGATTTGTGCTCATGTTGCAGTGTCAGTTACTCCCATTTCATCAAAATGCCCTTGACAAATAAACATTTCAGTTGGACCAGATGTGAGTGTTGCTTCTGTGGGTTTTCTGTAGCCTGTAGATTTTTAGTGCACAGGATAAATATGTACAACAACATTTTAACGTTTTGGGGAGATTCTTAAGTCAAGTTAATTCTTCATTTAAAATCAGTTTTAAATAACAGGAGATAGAAAACAAGCTACACTAATAAAATTTTAGCATAAACACATGAACAAATGTCATGTCCCAGGCTGTCCCTTTTCCACTTGTTTATACTAGAAGTTATAGAAGATATTTGCTAGGGAAAGTTAAAGTTGGAGGGAAGAACCCGGTGCTGTGAGTGAGCTGGGCAGTGTTGTGTGCTTAGGAAGAATGTTGACATCATTTCATACTGTCAGAAGAGCTTTTGGACCTACTAAAAGAATAGAAGGATAATTTCTGATTGTTTCTCTTCATGATATTAATTTGCTCTGTTGCAGTATCTGAGACACTCATTTGTTTTTGGTAAATGGATAGTATAATTTCAGTGGTCTTCAAAGCATTTATTTGCTTTATGTCGGGAGTAAGAAACTGAGTAACAAGTAGGTAAGAGTTGTTTTGCTAAGAGTTCCCTGGGTTGTTATGTAGATCTATGCCGTTGCCTTTGACAGAAGTGCTGCAAAGAGCATAGGAAATAATATTGACATGTCTGTGAAGATAAAGCAGAAATACATCTTGGCAATTTGAGTCATGGGGTAATTAGGTTAGAAGGGACATGTGTGGATCATCGGGTTCAGCCTGAAGCAAAGCTGTTTCAAAGTTAGATGGGGTAGGTAGGGACTTGTCCAACTGACTTCTGAGTATCTCAAAGGACGACGTCCCACAGCCTCTGTGGAAAGACTGTTGCAGACCTTGGCCACCCTTGTGAATTTTTTTTTTTCCTTTTGCAAAATAGGAATTTTCCTTGATGCAACTCATGTCCATTGACTCTTGACGTCAAGGAAAATTATGTTGTTTTCCAGTTACAAAAAGTAGAGTTAGTTTTTAAGGATTACAATTCACTTTACCCAGGGAAATTAATTTGACATCTCAAGTTTTTGCTTAGGAAAGGTGAGTAAAGGATGCTATAATAATGTTAAGGTTAGTTTCCTGGTACTGAAAATGCAATGTAGTATTTAGTGTACCAGTGGCATTTCTCATTATTGTAAGAAAAAACAGGTTTTGTTTTCTTTGTAAGTGAACTCTTGCAGATCTTGCAAAGTTGTTACTCTGGGGATGTCACTCTGTTTAGACCTCCGTACTGTTTGCTGTTGAATAGATGTGCTGACAGTTGCTACAGTAGTGTATAAATGGTCACTTGAAACTGCCTTTTTTTTTTTCTCTTTTAGAAAGATGAACTATGAGTTGGACAGGCTTGCTTAAGGCTGGGCTTATTTCTAAAACATAGTTGTGATCTGTTTCTTAGATTATTATATAATTAATTCATACCTTGTTAAAGGTCACTGTAAACTTGCTGCACTTGGGTTTTTCTGACTATTTAGATATTCTTTCAAGTTAGTATTTTTTCTGAATGAAGAACATGTTTGGTGACTGTAAAAGGCTGATTCCTGAAGCCTGTTTAATGAATTCTTCAACTCTTATTAATTTAAACAGCAGGGCTTTTCCTCCCCCATGCTGTCTTCAGAATACAGCGAGCATGAAACTTTGCAGTGCTTTGGTTGTTTAGCTGACTACTGTGAAACTGTCTGAATGGCTGGTATTCTATTGACTGCATTACATCATGATAAAGATATTGTAAATCCTAACAGGAGTATTCAAAAACTTAACAAACTATGACTAAATAATATTCTTCTTTTTTTCTCTACAGGCTCATAAATCAGTGAACTTTGTTTCAACTCTGCTTCAGATCACTATGTCCGAACAACTGGATTTACCAGTGAGACAGGCAGGCAAGTTTTCCAATCTTTTTTTCATTGTATCTATTTTAACAGTACCTACCCACAAGCACATTCTTAGATACTGTTAAAGAATTACAGTGGTTTTAATATCAAATACTCAAAATTGGGAGTCACTCGAATTACAGTCATAATGAAGTATATCTGGCAGCACACACTGAACAGGGAAGACAGAAAGAAAAGGTGGCTGCTCCCCTTTATCTTTGGTGAATAATGATCTTTGGGGAAACAGTGGTTTATGATGCTGGTACACTTGGCACAAGGAGCTAATTGAACCTTTTACTAGTAATGCTAATGTTTCTAAACATTTTAAGTGGAAGGAAACAAATTATGTCTTTTGGAACCCCACTGATCTGCACATGAGCCATCACTAAAATTGGATATTGAATGTTATCAACTCCAAACAAACATCACCCTTAAAGCTGCTGTGATTACTTGATAGAGGTTTCTAATATGATACTTCAGTGCTTTTTCTGACGATTCAGGAAGTGTGATCTTGATCATTTATTTGGATCTTCGGTGTAGTAGACTATTCTAAGTTGTAGCATAAGTCTAGCTTGCACTTTTATTTTACAGCTTGGGAGTACCACTTAGAAGATGAGTCAAAAAAGTTATTGCTTAACATGTATGACATGCAAAAAAAGGGGGAGGTTTGTAAATGACCTCTGAAAATTCACCCTCACTCTAAGCCAATTAAAAACCAAAGCAGTCTGTAGAGAGTGGAGACAGCTCAAACAACACACAGCTTGCAAACAGAGCATATTTTGCAGAGCAGTTGATGGCATGATAAATCCCACTGCAAACAGAGTGGAGTCTGCATCACTTCTGTCTTGTAAGAGCACATATCTGCTGAGTGTTTCTTACTTTGCAGACCCTTTCAGAAACCCTTTGGATTCTGAGTCTTCAGAAGGTGCATATGAAATTTGGGAAGAGAAGTTGCTTTGTGGGTTTGCACATAGAATTAATAGTAACTTTGTTATTAGTTTGTAATTTGAGATTTCCTGATGCATTTTGTAAGTCCTTTTATTTCCAAGCGCTGTAATCCGTATTCTGCCACATAAGCAGTTTGGATTTGGTTGTCAAATGGTAAATGCAGGAGTTTGTGCCAGCAGCCTGATTGCTAAAGTGCTGTGGCTCATAACCTTGGTATAATGAAGCTGTTTCTCTTTAGCATTCACTCCTGCATCACAAACTTAATTAGCCTTTTTTTTTTTGCCTACAAGGAATGTTTTAGATAGTCATTAGTATTGATTAGCTTTGTTTTAATGAAAATACTAAGAAAATAATTGTAAAGGATTTTTCAGAAATGTGTGGCTAAAATATTCCACAACTATTCTATCTATAGCACAGATAAAAGCAATACATTTAGTATTTTTGTATAAAACACATTCTTTACAGAACAAAAAATAAAAATGTCACAATAAATGGGTAAAAGAGTATTATTATGTTAATAATTTGCATGGTTTATTTATTTTGATTCTCCTAGTCAGAGATGGTCAATGAATTGGTCATTTCAATCAGTTTTGTTCTAAAATACATCTTTTGCAGAATGCATGTTTGTTTTGTACTTTGAATGGCTATCAGCTGATTTTTCACTTTTGTCTGACAGGGGTTATCTACTTGAAAAATATGATAACCCAGTATTGGCCAGATCGTGAAACTGCACCAGGAGAGATCCCACCTTACTCCATCCCAGAAGAAGATAGACACTGTATTCGTGAAAATATTGTAGAAGCCATTATTCACTCTCCTGAGCTGATTAGGTATTCAGTTTTAACCTGTTTTTTAATTGTCTGTGGTTTCTGACTGTTGGGGGTTTGTTTGGGGTTTTTTTTTTTTTGCTCAACTAAGATCACCTTCTTGCTAAGCAGCATTGTCATAGATTCTGTATCCTAAGCATAGACTTAATGTAGATGGAAAAACAGTTTTCAGCTTGTGCAACATGTAGAAATTTAAAGTTCCTCAAATGGAGAATATTAAGCAGAAAATACAGAACCTAAACCTTCTAACCAGAAGTTGAAATAAGTCTAAATTTGGGCAATATTAGCTGTTTCAACACCACAAGAATAGTATTAAAATAATAGTTGTAACTTATTTAATCCTTCTGCATTTGATTTCCAGAGTACAGCTTACTACTTGCATTCACCATATTATCAAGCATGATTACCCTAGTCGCTGGACTGCAGTTGTGGAGAAAATTGGATTTTATCTGCAGTCTGACAACAGTGCTTGTTGGCTTGGAATTCTTCTTTGTCTTTATCAACTTGTGAAAAACTATGAGTAAGTTTTTTCTTCCATATGAAACAGCAGAATAAAATGTATTTGTGTATTTTTTGTATTCTGTATGTATAGTGTAACCATGTAGAGTCGTGTGTGGAGTTGCACAAAGGTGATAGAAATCTAATTTTAGAAAATAATTCTTGAATACTTGCTATGCAGATGTTGGCTCTTCTCCACTAATAAATTAAAGAAAAACTGCCTTCATTAAAGGTTTGAGACTGGACAGAATAGGGTGTTGTAAAGCCTTAATTTGGTAGTTGTTTTTTGTGGATTGATAGCAGTAAGAAAGTCTGCTCAAAATCTCCGCTTTTGCAGAAAATTACTATCTATTTAAACTAGGTTTAGACACTTAAGTGTATCTAAGTATCAGTGACAGTAAACATAAAGGTTTCAAAGTGTGAAACCTTGAGTGTTGGGAAGTTCAGAATTAGTTGACTGTTGTTGGTATCATCCTTTTGAAAATTTTGATAGCCTTATCCATCCCATCATAGGAAATCTTTATCAAACCTTACTGTTCTCCTATATGCAAGGTATTGGGCTAGGACTCAGGTGACTGTTCTCTGCTTTGTATCTGATGTTATGCTCAGAGCTTTAAAGTTGAGGTTGCACTTTTCTCTGAGAAGTTGGGTGGAGCTTAGCTGCCACTGCTGCCATGTAGGAAGTTCATTTGAGCTGGGTCAGAAAAAAGTGCGATTTTGGGATCAGGGAGTGGAACTGCTGGAATCCACAAATTACTCTTTCAGAGTACTGCCATGGATAACATTTTTGTTTCAGGTACTGGATTTAAAACATTGCATTGAAAAATGTCACTTGTCTGGTTGCATGAATTTTACATACATTAGTGTAAAGCAGGTGAACATCAGTTTCCCAAGAATCCTTTTTTACAGGAATACTATAAAGACCTTTGTAATCCCATGTTGGAGTTTTTTCTGTGGCTAAAAACTACAAGTTTGCTGGGAAAGGAAAATAAACTAATTTCTCACTTGATTTTCAAATTTAACATCTTTAACCAAACATACAGCAGAGATCTGTAAGATATGAAACATGAAGTGTTCACTGGTGGTGTATTATAGTTAAAGCAATCTTTGTTTAAGGAAGAATTTTGATATGAGCACAGTGAGTGTGTGATTAACTAAGGTAACAGGTGTGTTCATCATCTTAGTTGATCAAACACTTCAGCTGAGCCAGCAATTGCTCATACTTGTTTAGCTTTCTGGTGAAGTCAACAAGGGTCAGTTTCACAAACCATGTAGGAATATGCACATTTCATTGTGTAACAATACGGGTGCAAGCAGGTCTCTGTAAAATTTGTTAAATTACTTATGTCAGGTTTTTGGGGAATAAATCTGCATAGTGTTATGACTTTGATCAAATTGTTACTGCTTGAGTTACAGGAATCTTTAGCTGTTTAATTTTTTTTTCCTTAATGTTCAAGGTAAAGATCTTGGGGCTTTTCAACATTATTTCTTTTTCTCCAAATCCAACGAGGAAGATCAAATGGCTGCTCTTTGCACAATCTTTTTTTTTTTTTTCTGGTATTTTTCAGTTGTGTCTTTTGTGGAAATCAGAAACTGAGTTTTCCTGAGCAACATTTAGTCCTTATATTTAGTTTTCTGTTTCAGAAACTACATGCAAACTGTATTATTGAACAGGATTTTGGAACTCAGTGTTCTGTAGTAGTTTTTACAGAACATGCCATCTGGCAGCAAATTGAGTAGACTTTATCTTATATTGCTGCAAATTGGCACTGTTTAAGAGGCTGAGCATTGATATTTAATATTAGTGAAAAGTCTACCAAAAATGTATTTCAAAACAAAACCCAATCCCCTAACCTAAAAATCTCACACAGGAGTCCAAGAGTATTATAGTATTAATTGCTTAATTGAAAAATAAAGCTGTACAGTCTTAAAGTGGTATTTTACTTTGTTCTTACTGTCATCACCAGTATGGACAATATCCTGTTCTGCCGAGATAACTCCTGAGTCAATAAGGACTTTCTTCTTTGTAAGATAAAAGTTGGGGGAAGATTTCAAAATGGGGCTTCATTTCCTTTTAGGAATTTTGAAATGTTTTGAGAGAGGAAGTGGAGTTTTGTTTTCAGCTTAGGTAAATCCAGCATGGGAAGGTCTGAGGCACTCTTTCAAGGGGGGTTGCAATCGAAGCCTGCTTAGAGTCCACCATGTAGCCTTGAAACCTACATTCTCTATCACATTGTTAGATGTAGACAAATTAAATGTCAAGATGAGAGACATCAATGGTAAACTGTGAGAGACTTCACAATTTACTTTCTCCAATGTCAGTGAAGTAATCTAGCTTCTGGAAATGTTTTGATAAATCGTGAACTCTGTTAAGTGTCTTTGGCATTTTCCTGACTAGCCCAGCATCTGCCACTTCTGGCAGTAAATGTGTACCATTTGCTTGCAGTTTTTGTAGTGCTCTGATTGCTTTTCACTACAGTAATGGTGTGACTAAGCATGATGTAGTATTCAAAGTGAGTAAGTTGACGGGAGTGCATTACCAGCAGAAGACTAATGTGGGTATATAGTGGAGTAATGGATGCTCAGTGGTTTTCTAACTCGCCTCTTAACTGTAATGTCTGGCTATAGCTTTATTTCAAATTCTCCAACAAGAAATGGCTAGGTTTTTTTACAATTCTGTGTTATGAATTGTAATACAACCTACTTATTTCTACAACAGGGAAAGGTGGACTTTTAAAATTCAAAAGCTGCCTGAAAGATCTACAAAACTAGTTTGTTCTTTTCTAAAGGTACAAGAAACCGGAGGAGCGGAGTCCTTTGATAGCTGCAATGCAACACTTTCTACCAGTTCTGAAGGACAGTTTCATTCAGCTCTTGAGTGATCCATCTGATCAGTCTGTCCTCATCCAGAAACAGATCTTCAAAATATTTTATGCTCTTGTCCAGGTAAAAAACTTTGTGTATTCTTGATCGGTAATTTAATTTAAAGCATCACGCTTTTCCTTAAAATAGTAAATGACAGGAATATTAACAGTATTAGATTACATCTGAATCATTTCTCATACCACTCAACTGTGGCATGAATCATTGGGTTTTGGTATGCTTGATGTACTGTACTTTCACTTTTATACAGTGCTATTCATTGTGCATGCCATTCTCTAAGGTAGACCGTTTGCTAGAAAACCAATGAGAAAATCAGTTTTCAAATGAGAGATCGTAGAGGCCAGCCTACATAGAATTACTAGTGTAAATGCAGCAGTTGGTAATGAAACTGTTAATATTCTGTTAATTGTGTCAGAAATTAGTGTAACATCTGTTTAAGTAGCATCTTAGCATTGCATAAGCAGAATGAATTGGAGTAAAGACCTCTTAGCACCTTTGAGGATATAGACTAGGTTGTGTTAAGTTCTTTTTTAGCCTGGTTTTCTGAGTTGTTTATTAATCTTTCATGGTAGCTAAATGTAGACAAAGATTTGAAAGAGATAAAATCCAAACTGTGAAAGTAACATTATTTTCAAATTGCTTTACAATAAATCTATTTTACCTTTTTTTTTTCTTTAATAAGTACACATTACCTTTGGAGTTGATAAATCAGCAAAACCTGACTGAATGGATAGAAATCCTGAAGACTGTTGTTGATAGGGATGTACCAGCTGTAAGTGGCTTTTGGTTATTTATGTCTTTATGTTTAAATATTTTTCATTCATTAGAATGTTAAAAAGTTTAACCTTTCATTTCTGTATTCTTTTTTTCTCAATAGATGTAAAAAAATTTTCTAAAACTAAATAGGGTGTTTAAAACAGACTAGACAAATTTTGAAAATACGTAGCTTGTATGGGAGTTCTGTTTTCAAATTATAGCACAACTTTGGCTCCTTGTTTCAAGAATTTGTTGACCATTTATGCAGCACATATAATGGGATTTATTTTTAGGTATGCTGTACTTTATCCTTCTACTAAGCTAGAAGTACACATGCCAGGTTAAAAGCAAAATGTAGAGCTGTTCAAAATACATTTAATTTCATCTCTTTTTGAATAGTTAGGAAATACTTTTTTTTTTTTTCCTCCTCCTAAAGGAAACCCTTCAAGTTGATGAAGATGATAGACCCGAGTTGCCTTGGTGGAAATGCAAGAAGTGGGCTTTGCATATCTTAGCTAGACTTTTTGAGAGGTATTTTCTCTTCCATTATTATTCTAAAAAAACCCAAACAAATATTCAAATCAGTAATATTGCTGCACCCTTGAATTCACATACTTGCTTCTAATTCTAGGTATGGAAGCCCTGGTAATGTTTCCAAGGAGTACAATGAGTTTGCTGAAGTGTTCCTGAAGGCATTCGCTGTTGGTGTTCAGCAAGTAAGAAACACTGAATATGGGGAATAGTACAATAAGTTTAGAGTTAGTAGTGATTTCTTATTTCATTATTTTATGGAAAGGCTTCTTGCTTTTCTTCACAATTGTTTTTTGTTTAAGCACATTGCTATGGAAAGCACTGATGTCTGTGGATTAAAAGAAAATAATTATTAAATAATGAATTTCCCATGTAGGACAATCCACTGAAAACGGCCTCTGTAGCATTGATAATCTGTAAATAGAGTAAATGCTCTTATATAACAAGCCCTTGACTGAGCTTCAGATAAACGCTAGCAGTTTTTCTTTCTGGAAGGTATAATATTTACATTCAAGAATCTTTCTCAAAGAAATTTCACATCCTTCTAAAATTCAAATACACCAGCAAACTGAACCTTCTTGTTTAAACTTTTCTATAGAGAAGATTGTATTATTATATGTTAAGTTCTAGTTTGCTGAAGACCCAGGATTACTACTTTTGCCTAGAACAAAGAACCCCTATTTTATATTTTTTAAATCTTAACTGAGCTGCCACCACTATGAGACTTACTTAGGCCATGGAGCCTGTCTCAGATCCATGCATTATAAAAGTTCTGTATATTATGTTAATACAGTGATGGTAATTTCTTTGTTGCTTGTGTTGAAATTTGTGAAGGAAGCCAATCTTTAGAATGTCATGTAATCTGTGTGTAAAACCACAAGAAATTGCAGTCTTCATTAGTTTCCCAATTACTTCTTGACAGGCTGTATTTAAGGCATATCATCAAGGAAGTAAAATATGTTGCAGAGTTGTTTACGTATTCAATCAATTTTTTTGCCAGTTTGTTAGACTCTTTAATGATGAACGTTCTCCTTAATTATTCTGACTTGAAGAAGCATGTTACTCTTACCACTTACTCTTACAGTGATTTTGGAAGTTACAAACATTTGTCACTTAAAGTATTGTTTTTGCAGAGAATAATTTTCTCTTTTGGTTTGCAAGAGTGAATTTTGACATAACGTATTCTTTGGTAATCCTTGAAACAGCTGCTCTTTTCCTTTCCTATCCTAAGTCAGTGTCTAATGCCACCAAAGCCTTGTACTCAGGTGAGGGTAACAACCAGTAATCTCTTAAATCCAGGAGGCTTTTAAATATGAGCAGTTAAACTTTTGAGGACTGAGAATGCATCTAGAGCATAAAACTGTAAACCTGTGAATTTCATGGCTAATGAATGCATCCTCTTTAAACTCAATTATGAGGCATCTCCTTTGGGAGAAATGCTTCAGTGCTTGTGTAATAAATGTTATCAGTAGAATTAGTTTTCAAAATAATGAATCTCATTTTCCCAAAATGTTTTCTTGATGATGTTACAGATTAATAGATATGTCTTCAGTTCCTTCAGTTTGGGATTTTTTTAAAACGTTTTATGTGAAGAATTAAATGAAACCCTGGAAATGAGATTTATCATTTCTCTGCAGTTAGTGCTGCTGCTCTTGAAGGTGCATTGTTGCCCACTGACCTGGACTGGGCTGGGCTGCAAGGAAAGCCCCTTACATTACCAATACCAAACTTCCCAGTGATCTGAAATTTAATTACTACTAATGGTCCCATGTCCATTTCATGTTCTTATTTGTGGAGAGCCACGGACTTTAGCAAATGTAAATCCCTGTGAATAGTTCTGAATGCCACCTCAGGAGAAGAATTGGGGCCAGAAAGCAAAGAGAAAAGAGGCTGGTTTATCATTCTTTGCACACTTTCATTCTTCATACAGCATCATTGCAGTAAGGCTGCACATAGGCAAGAATCAGTAGACTGCACGAGTGTATTTTGCCAATCCAGTGTTTGGGCATGAATTTCTGCCCTCAGAGTGGCAAGATGGAATAATAAAACTCAGCAGAAAAGGTCCCCTGAGCTATGTTGGTGATGAATTAGGATGTATGTTTTGTCTTACTGAAGGACTGTATTTTAAAAAGATGTGCAGCACCTGATAAGAGCTGCGAATTGCCTTATGAAATTAACAATGACATTTAGTAGGATTAGTCAGTACCCATTTTAGTCTAATGAATAAACAGGGATTTTTCTTGGATTTAGAGGGGTTCTTATGTAGGATTGTGAGGGAGGATAGAATTCTTCTGGTTAAAATGGTCTCATTAAGAGCTATTTTATGAAATTTGATTTTTCTAGGTGTTGCTGAAGGTGTTGTATCAGTACAAGGAAAAGCAGTACATGGCTCCTAGAGTTCTGCAGCAAACACTGAATTACATCAATCAAGGAGTGTCACATGCAGTTACCTGGAAGAATCTGAAACCTCATATTCAAGTAAACGATTGTCGGGGTTTAATACTTAAATGACTCAGTAGTACTTTAGTCAGTCTGTACAGTGTTTCTAGCCTTGCTAGAATTCAAGTTTTAGGGACCTTTTTATAAATTGCTGATGAAAAGACTTTAAGCCTGTTTGGTGAAGGTTACCTCGATACATGAGCAAAGCTAGCTAATTGCTTTTTTTGCTATCAGTCCTTTGTGCTTTAATATATTAAGTGTAACACAGCAACACAACAAATTTGGAGATGGCGTTAACTACTGAATTTATGACATTGAATCATATCCTCATACCATTATCAAAAGCAAATCTAATAGCCTGCCCTGTGCCGTAGCTCTACCTTAAGTTAAAAGATCTCTTTTTTGTAAGGTAGCACCTAAAATCCTCTCTGTCCAACTAGTTTTAGAATGTTACCATTTTCTATGAGAAGTGACAGGATGGACAAAATCTTTGAAATACAGGACAGAATGAAGAGATTGATTTAGTAGTGCTAGCCTCTTTTCAACTTTTTTTTTTTTTAAATTGCAGGGAATTATCCAAGATGTTATTTTTCCATTGATGTGCTATACAGATGCTGATGAAGAGCTTTGGCAAGAAGATCCGTATGAATACATTCGCATGAAATTTGGTGAGAATTTGAAATCTACTAATGTTAAAATATGACTTCACAACAAAGGCAGGATTTTTATAGTTTTTCATGAAAATAGAGATGGCTTTAATCTTTAAAAGAAAAAAACAGAAAACCAGTTTGTATTATCAAAAAAATATAACTTCATATAGTTATCTTTTGACTGGTAGAAATGACACATAGCATATGACAGTCAACAATGACACAGGTGTTTCTGCACTTGAAAAAGTAGCTAATTTTGACAGTTACAAAGTTTTTGTTAAAAGTCAAACAGTCCATTATTGCTAACAATAATGACATAAGTTTAATGTTATTAAAAGTTTATGCTTTGCAACAGCTAATATTTCAGGCCCTGGAGTTTTTACAATTGGAATGAATTTTACACATGGCACATTTCAGAACAGATTTACTGTAATGGTAAAAGAAACATTATGAAGTAAGCCTAGCATTCCAGATATGTTTAATTTCACCTCTTGTGGCTTGCTACTTTGTTGTTGGGGTTTACTGTAAGTCTATGCAGTCCTTTCAGGCTGGGAAAGACAGAAGATACTTCAGACTTCTTGAACAAATTCTTCCCTCCACTAGGACTTTTATGTGGCTAATGATTTAATATGAACCAAAAGAGCAATAATTTTCCTTTTTTTTAAGTGGCTAATCATGCTTTCACAATACAGTTGTTCCAAGACCAAACAATAGTAACACATGCTATCTTGAAATATAGTAAAGGACCAAAATTTATAGCTGTTACTTGTTTACTTAATAGATGTATTTGAAGACTTCATTTCTCCAACAACTGCTGCTCAGACATTATTGTTTACATCATGTAGTAAAAGGAAAGAGGTAAGGTATTCAAGGATTTTACTTAAATACAATGTTAGCTAGTTTTAGTTTATAGTCTCTATTTGCTCAAAGAACTGCTAATAGAAGTTTTACTTCTCTGTCATATAATGGTACATTAGAACTTACTGCTTCTCTCAAATTTGTTTTGCAGTAGTCTTTCTGTGATTTTTGTATTTGCCAGTTCCCCTGGGACCTATTTATCAAGAATGTTGTGTGTTTATAACGGAGACATAAAACATGATCCAAATTCTAGACTTGGAGCAGATAATTAGATATTTAAGTATTTCAGAGCACAGAGAATGGTACCTGAGATGACTGATGGAAATATTTTGACTAAACTTACGCGTAATCTAGGTCTTGCAGAAGACAATGGGCTTTTGTTATCAGATCCTTACGGAGCCAAATGCTGACCCTCGTAAGAAAGATGGTGCTTTACATATGATCGGTTCTTTGGCTGAAATTCTCCTAAAAGTAAGCATAACAAATATGGTGGTTCTTTTGTTTGTTGTTTTTTTTTTTTTTCTTTTCCTTACTTTCATGTGTAGTGTCATAGAAGAAATAAGAATAACTCTTTGAGTTTACAAGTTTTTGAATCACTGACAAATTTTTATAAAGCTGTTGAACTTAATTGTTTTGGTTTTGTTGTCAGCTTAATTACATGAGTTTCATTAGATCATGTTCAAGTTCAGATTATTGTTTTAAGTTCCTTTAAGTTCTCTGCTTCTAGTAAGAATTACTACACCATTTCCTATGCTACACTTAGCTACATTCCCTTTTTTTTATTGAAGAAAGAAAAAAAAATCCACCCAGAGGGAGGCTGCTGATTTATTGAGATCTTTTCTGTGTATAGAACAGAGGAAATTAGTAACCTTGTTCAATCAGAATAGTAGCAAAAACGACACAGGGCACAGACTTGTATTTGAACCATGGCTCTGAGAAGTTTCCCTGACCACTTTTGCTACCAGAGTAATGTATTGCCAAGCAGAAGGTGTCTCTAGGAGTCAAAAAATGACAGGAAAAAAAGTGTCACTGTTTTGACTGAAAATTATAAAAGTCTGTGTAGGATCCAAGTTTAATTACTAATGCAGGATTTCATTGCTGCTTAGTGGACTTTATTAAAGGGGGAAGTTAAAAGTCTGAGGGTTTTGTTATGCTGTTCCCACTTTTATGTGACTTTTTTTTACTGGATTAGAAATGCATTTTTATACAAAGTTTTAAACTGATGTGTTTCTATTCATGTTCTGACAGAAAAAAATATATAAAGATCAGATGGAATATATGTTGCAGAATCATGTGTTCCCTCTCTTCAGCAGTGAGCTGGGTTACATGAGAGCACGGGTAAGAAAGTGTAAGAGTTATTGTTACCATAGGCTCTGTTCCAACTCAAGTGTTCCAGAATGTTCGTATTTTTTTTCCCCTCTAACAAATGCACTCCTTTCTGTACCTTTTCTGTAATAAATTGTATGCTTATTTCAGAGATCAGTATCAGTCTTTATGTGTGATTACAGATGGCTACTGTATAGTCTTAGAGTGGCTGCAGAACTGTGTGCATAGTGTTCCATCTGTGTCTGGTGGTATGGTCTAGTTGTGTTTTGCATTTAGACTGTACTGCTCACACAAAACCTGTGGCCAAAGATGAACTTGAGATCATAGTACTGGTCTAGTGATGTCTGAAAGACAAGCCTCCCACTGGCCAGCCTCCACACTCTCAAACATCTTCGAATCTTTATTCACCAGTAATTGTACTTTACATTTAATAATTTGTGTAGGTTATGGGTATATGAGTAGTCAGTAATCCTGTCTATATGCTTTGTAACTCTGAATTTGTTCATTATCTTTTTTTCAGGCTTGTTGGGTTCTTCATTATTTTTGTGAAGTCAAATTTAAAAGTGACCAGAATCTCCAGACAGCCTTAGAACTTACAAGACGGTGTCTGATAGACGATAGGGAAATGCCTGTGAAAGTGGAAGCTGCAATAGCACTTCAAGTTCTGATCAGTAATCAAGAGAAAGGTAGCCCTCTTGTCTTAAAGCTACAGCAAACTTCAATGGAATAGACATCAATATTGCAATGTTCAGGGAGACTTCTTTTCTTCCTGGTGTTAATTTACTTCTTGCAGTTGTAATTTGCAATCACTTATTGTAGTTTTCCAGCTGGAAAAATTTATATTTTTTTATAAATAACATTATCACAATTTCAAGGTACAATAAATCCAGTTTTACAGAACCTAATTATTGAATCAGGAATACAGTGGCAATATAAGCACATCTGTCTCAGCATACATTCATTCATGTTAACATTTATTTTTTTAAAAAAGTAAATCCTGGCAGGCGCTACAGTGCTTAGTATTCCTGAAGCTGGCATAAAAGCCACAAAGGAAACATAAATTCTGTCTAATTTGACAAAAATGCACATGTACCTCTTCCTGTTCAATTAGAATTTACATTGATAAGTAATCTTGCATTCCATAAAGACTGTAGAACTCTAGTTTTCATATTTCAGTTGTGATCCTCTTGGTATAAATTTTCATTTAAAAATCATGAATATTAGTGTCGCTACAATGATTTATACTACCTATGGTTTTGGCATATGAATGCCAAAGCACTAAATATTAATAAAGTGTATATTTACTTTCTTATTCTAAACCTGCAGTTTTGCAAGAATGTAAATTCAAATATTTCCACTTGTTTTACAGCTAAAGAATATATTACTCCATTCATTAGACCTGTAATGCAAGCTTTACTTCATATTATAAGAGAGACTGAAAATGATGATCTTACTAATGTGATTCAGAAGATGATCTGTGAATATAGTGAAGAAGTTACCCCAATTGCAGTAGAAATGACACAGCATTTGGTAAGACTTTCTGATGACTTAGGAAGATGCTTAATGTGTGAAAGATTAGTATTTAAAATTAAGATAGTTGTCCGTCGATGAATAGCAGTTGCTACTCCAGTCTGCTTAAGTGCATTGATACAGGTAATTTTCTTCTACATTTAGACTGTTTTTTTCTCAGAAGTAGCTTAACTTGAACTAAATGGAAATTTCCAAGAACGACTGTAGAAATGTTTGAGAAATCTTTGTACATGTTTTCTCCTGATAGTGTTAATAATTGATTTTGGTAGCACCTTTTAGGTAGTGACAATGTGACTTCAATTTTCTGTTTTGAGTTGAATTGAATCTGCAGGAGAAATTCAGAGCTTGAGTGACCTGTACTAGCAAGTTGTACTAATAGTTTTAAAAGCAGAGATCAGCTCAGTGCTTCCCTCTTAAAGGCCCTTGCCTTCGAGTTAAAATGAAATTGTTTGCATGTCCCCTCTGGAAATGCCTGCAAAGTGATCCAGTCTAGTTCAGCTATCAATTAAACATTGTGTCAGAAAAACTTACTTGTAGAAAATGTATTCTTTTGCATGGAAAGTAATGTCATTTATATCTTTTTAATCATGAGTGGATAAAGGATGACAGCTCAAATGGCTTAACATTCAAATTTTATCAATCTTGAAAACAAACTCTGGAATGGAGCAGTCACCTTCTAATATTCATACACGTTTTCTTTGCAGGACTCCTCCTTGAATTGTGTAGAATAACAGACTTGCCCAGTTGTTCTTAATCTCCAAGCATGTCCTCATTAAATAACATATTTATGGGTTGTTTTTCTATTACATGCAGGCAATGACATTTAATCAGGTGATCCAGACTGGACCAGATGAAGAAGGCAGTGATGACAAAGCAGTGACAGCAATGGGAATCTTGAATACTATTGATACGCTTCTCAGTGTAGTTGAAGATCACAAGGAAGTAAGTAAAAATTACTTTAAAGTTAATATGTATTGTCTAAGACACTGAAAGTCTTTTGTAGTTCCAGTGTTCCTGACATTGTTATCTGAAAAACTGTCCTTTCAGCCAAAAAAATCTTAAAACAGAAAACAGTGAAGTACTTACCATGAAAGAAGTTGTAACAGAGTGGGTCACGTTTCTAACACAGTATGTGTTGTAATAGAGCATGAATGTTGTCACAGTATTTCCCATAAGAATCCAAGTTCTTGCTCAAATAGGTGAAAGCAACTTGTCTCTAACAGGTAGAACTCTGTCAGCTCAGCTGGAAAAACTCATCTGATTTGATGAGGTCTGCCCTTCAAAGAAAATAGGTAAAACTTCAGTTAGCTTTCAACATGGACTCTGCTGACTTAGTTTGCTCTCTGCAACACAGAATCATTGTCTGTAAATACAGCTGTTGTGGCTGTGCTAAATGATAGGGGGTTTTTTTAACCTGCCTCATCTGCACTGTAGAATTCTCCAGTGTGATGAAAGCATTTGTTCATTAGTTTTGTTGTACTGAATGGACTAACTTCTCATCCAAAGCACAGCTTGTTCAAAAGATGCTGTTGCTGAATAAAATCCTTCTTGACAAAGTCAACTACTGATTCTTTGATAAATACATTCTAGGTTTTTAGTGACTAAACAGTTCAGTAATAAATTGTAATCCCAGGGCTCTGAAGACTTTAGTAAGGAAGCAGCATAACATTAATTCTGAATACCCAAGGGCAGAATGCCATGCTGCTGTGCAATAAACCAAGGACCAGTTTGGCTCAATTGCTTGTTGCTGAAGCTGCTCAGCCAGCTTTTCACGTACTTGTTTTTGTCAGCAAATTCTTGATATCTAAATGAAAAGTTTGTGTAACAGTATGCTAGTCCTGAGGAACTCAATTGTAAAACGTTGATCAGTAAACATTTCTATTTAGTGACATCTCACACAGGATGACCAGTGTTCCAAGAGATAAGGTATTTAGCTGGTTAGTTTCAAATCCTCTTCTGCATAGCTAAGACCAAAAACTCAACCCTTATTTGTCCCTATGCAAGGTAAGTGCCCTGAACAGATTAATGACTGTTTTGTTAGCTGTTCCATGGACTAATAAATACTAATTGGGAAGGGTGTCTGAATCTGTAGACCAGCATTTACACTGATTGTCCACATACCATATGAATATCCTAAGATAGGTTTGGGAAATGGTTTGGTATTTGTTTATTATCTGGTTTGTTTTTTGAAATTTCACTTTTCTGGAACAGCAAATACTTCCTGTAGCTTTCATTGCTTACCCTGCTGATATATACTTTTACTTGTGTTTTAATAGGACTGAACTGTTGCATAGGGTTACTGTCAGGCTTTTCTTTTTAAAGCATACCCGATAATGAGATTCGTCCAGTATTCACATAATATTCCAAAACCACCTCATATTAAAAGCTGTCTTACAACTCCCTAGCTAAGAGTGCTGCTACTGTGAGAACTTTTGAATTGTTTTTAGAAGACTATTTTGTATAAATAGAAACAGCTTTTTTTTTTCAAATGTGTTTAATTTCAACTCCAAAGTACTGAAAACGGTCATAAATTTCCTTTTCCAGATTACCCAGCAGCTGGAAGGGATCTGTTTGCAAGTGATTGGAACAGTTTTGCAGCAACATGTATTAGGTATGTGTACTTCTGTTGGCTTATTTTTTTAAGTGTATGTGATTGGCTTTAAATTTACCTAGATTCTGTTTGCTTTAGAGTTCTATGAGGAGATCTTTTCCTTGGCTCATAGTCTGACCTGTCAACAAGTTTCTGCACAAATGTGGCAGCTTCTTCCTCTTGTTTTTGAAGTCTTTCAGCAGGATGGCTTTGATTATTTTACTGGTAAGTGATACAAATAAATCAGCCAAATGGTTTCATATATGTGATTTCAACTGTATAATGAATTGCATCTTGATTGAAATGTTAAGAGGACACTGAAGTGAGGTTACACTTGGAAGTATTTTATTCTGATTTTGCTGCAACCAGACTTGTTTTGCTAAGGCATCTATGACTAGATGCTTGCTTATCTTGACAAACATTAAGCAAGAACCATAATTAACTTAACTTACATAGATTTCAACCTGAATTTAACAGCTTGTTTAATAAAACATGCAAATAATAACTGACTGTGATCATTCTTCTTTTAATGCAGACATGATGCCTCTCTTGCATAATTATGTTACTGTTGATACAGATACACTTCTATCAGACACAAAATATCTTGAAATGATCTATAGTATGTGCAAAAAGGTAAGTAGATTCATTTGTGGTAACAAAACCTGTTAAACTGGGTACTTTTTTCCACAACAGCAGACTGTGAGACTGAAGAATTTTGACATCTGCTCTTTGTAAGCATTGTGCTATTTAACATCCTCTGTGATTCCACAAATTACTAAGTTATTGCAGAGAAATGTAAAGAGGTTGCATCAAATTTCAGATACATGCTTTTGCTAACAAGGAAAAATGGCAAAACATGCACAACATACAATGCATGTTTTGTGTAACACGCTTTGTGCGGACGTGCACATGCAAAACACACGGATGCCTATTGCAAAAAGTAGATGGTTTCTTTTATCTGAGATTTGTAGCTTCACTATGGCTAGGGTACCGCATAGCACGTGTGTGCTAAAGGTCTTAAATCTATTACCTGAAACAAGTGGAGTAGAGATGGACAGTAGAGGGATAGGAACAGGAATTTATTTTGCCAAGTTCATGCCGAGTCAGTGATGAAAGCTAGGAGCAGAATGCAGATGTTCTGACTCAGTCCAGTCACTTCTGGGCAGCATTTCTATGTTTAACTTAGGTTTTCAGCTCCTGTGTATAGGTAGCTGCCAACTGGGCTTTCTTTATCCAATCGATATGTAGAATACAAAGCTTTCCAGAATGTTAGCCCTATGTGAGGAAATGAATACTTCTTTATAAGATGGTGTTAATATTTTATAATGTCTAATAGTAATCTGTGGGGATTTCAGTTTTCTGCTTCTGGATAGCTATATAAAGAGCTAAGGTGAACTGTCAGCTGCCCTGACTGTGGTATTTCCTGAGTAATTCTTTTGAAGATGTTTAAATATTATAGTGACTAACTCTTGCCGGCCTTTATTTGAAAACATGTTGCAACCCAGCTGATTGTAAATACTTG